TTACGCATGCGCAACTCTCCTGCTTGGTAGCACCTCATCAACGCCACCACCTCAGAGACACCGCATCAGCGACACTGCCTCAGCGCCACTGCATCTTTCCGTGCTACTACATCTCTAAGTGCCTTTACATTTAGGCGCCAATCTTAAACTAATCGATAAATTTAAAATACCAAGGGGTTTTACTATCTTAACATGCCTTGACAAATAGGAATATTTTCAATAACTAAATAAACAATGCTCCCTTGGACAGATTTCAATGCTACCTGAACATAACAAGCAGAACGCTAATCTCCGCAATAATCATGCTTAATTTTCACATATTGGAGAGATGTTGACAATCGCTCTTTTATAAATACCCTTGGAAGTTCGCAAGGTAACCGTCATAACCACTCCGTCGGTACCGGGATGTATTTCTTTGATTCTAGCTAAAATCCACTGGAGAGGTAGAGTTTCGGTATCCTTCAACATGACCAGTTGTCCAACCTTAAATTTAGCGTGGCTTTCCGTTTTCCATTTATTTCGCTGCTGACAAATAGATAAGTATTCCTTCTGCCACCAGGACCATAAATGTTGTCTCAGCTGTTCGACGTATTGCCATCTTGACAGTGTATTTCTTGGTACCTCCTCTAGACTCAATTCTAGATAGGATTGCAGGTTTTCTCCTATCAAAAAATGACCAGAAGTTAAAGCTCTCAAGTCATCCGGATCTTCCGAAAGTGGCGTCAGAGGCCGCGAGTTCAACATTGCTTCTATTTGCGTCAAGATAGTCGACATCTCTGAGACAGTAAGACAACTTTCACCAATCGTTCGTTTGAAGTGTAAATTCATTGCTCTTACTGCGGCTTCCCAAATACCGCCATAATGTGGAGATCTAGGCGGGATGAAATGCCAGTTTACCCGCTCGTTCGCTGCAAACTGTTGTACCGCTTCTTGGAACTTGGTTTCTTGAAACATCTGCTGTAACACGCGATCCACGCTCACGAAATTTCTTTCATTGTCCGAATATATATTTTTTATCTTGCCTCTTCGAGCTATGACTCGTTTCAACGCGGCTATGAATGATTCGGTGGTTAAGTCCTCCACTAACTCTATGTGCACGGCTTTGGTTACCATGCACACAAATATGGCCACGTACGACTTATATTTTTTGCTATTTTTTCGAACTCAATCTCTTATATAGAAAGATCCGCAGTAGTCGACACCTGAATTGCTGAAGGGTCTAGCTATGTTGATCCTTACTGATGGTAACTCGCCCATTATTTGCCAACTGGGTTTGGGACTTGCTTTCCGACATTTCACACAATTGCGTAAAATTTTCTTAACTCGGCTCCTAGCAAATATTTGTCAGGCCTATTTGTCAGGCCAGAATTCTTCCCTTATAGAATTCGTCGTCGCTTGGGCTCCCGCGTGGAGCAGTTTCTCGTGATAGTGTAAGATTATCAATGAGGTGAAGTAATATGAGGCTGGTAGTAGGACGGGATGTTTAACTTCTTCCGGCAGTACTGCATGCTTTAACCTTCCTCCTACTCTCAATACTTCCTCTTCGTCAAGGTATGGACACAGTGCAATCAGTCTTGAAGTGCGAGGAATCGCGTTATTGCTTCTCAACGCCTTTATTTCTTCTTCAAATACTTCAGCTTGCACTAATTTAACTATCACACATTTCGCCTTGTTAATTTCGACATTGGTTATCGGCCCTAACTCTCGCTTCGCTGTTTTACATTTAACATTTACACTAAATCTTAATACATATGCTGTTACTCTTAATAGCTTATTGAAAGAAGAGAATCGCTTATAGTCTATAATCGGTCTCTCAGTTATAGCCGCTACTATCACTACTTTCTTTCGTTCTTCCGGAGCGCTAATTGATAATTTCTCATCCTCTTTTGGCCAGCTATTCTCATTTTCTTTTAACCATTTAGATCCCTCCCACCATTCGTTTGCGTGAATTAACTGTTCCGGAGTAGTGCCTCTCGATATCAAGTCCGCCGGATTGCCTTATATGCCGCCATTCAGAGGGTGAAGATTTATCGTGAATTTCACCTACTCTATTGGCTACGAAAGCTTGCCATCTTCTAGAAGTAGAATCTATCCACGCCAATACTATCTTAGAATCCGTCCAATAAAGCCCTTTGTATACTCTTAACTTTAGACTACTTATCACGTGTTCCATTAAGTTGACTAATAACACCGTCCCGCATAACTCTAATCTAGGCAACAATATGCTTTTCATAGGTGCTACTCTCGACTTGGAACAAACTAAGGATACGTATATTTCGCCTTGCTGATTTTGTTCCCTTACATACACGCAAGCTCCATACGCCTTCTCACTGGCGTCGCAAAACCCGTGTATCTGAATCTGAGTGTTGGCCTCCCCTAATGATATTAATCTCGGTTTCAAGGAATTCTTCTCTCAATGCTCGCTCGTATTGAGAAGGTTGGAGATCCGTGGAGTTACCGTACACTTCGTAACACCGATGTCAACGTGTCCTCGGACACTCTAAAGACAGTAGCCCAACGTGCAAGCGCACTCTAAAGAGCTGCGGAGGTTTGTGTAGAGTCACCGAAGACCTAAACACAAATGCCAACGTGTCTACGACACTCTTAAGGCAGTAACGTTCAATGCAGATATGCAAGCGTATACTTCGAGCGAGGCAAGAGCCCAACAACGTGCTGACGCACTCAAGAAGGCGATATGGAGCTAGGTATAGTGCAAAAGAATACCTCAGCGAGGCAGTGACCTGATGTGCAATAGTAGTCAAAAGGCCTAGAGTCGGCGTCCGCGGCGTCTTATATAGGCGCCGCACCGAAATTTAACCGCAAGTAACGGCCCCGGCTCGGCGCGCTGCCGCGTAGCGGCGGCGGCGTGAAGCCGCGGCGAGCGGTAGTCGCCCGCCCACGATCCGTGCGGACGACAGCTCCCGTACGGAACATACCGCCCGCCTCCGTCTGAGCGACGGAAATTAAGTAAGTGCTGGAGTGTCGGGTGTATCGACAGCTTCCCCGATCGGCAGCCGCACTAGCTTGACTAGGGGCCTCGTGAGGACGGACTCCTGAGTTCGCACCCGCGCGACTCGTGTTTGACCATCGGGGCCCGCGAACAGTTCGAGGATGCGTCCTAGAGCCCATTTAGAGGGAGGGACACGGACGTCGATGATGACCACCAGTTCTCCCACGAGCGGCGGGTCCTTTCAAGGAATTCAACAAACCTATAGTTGATTTTATTTGCTCCCAGGCTCTATGGATGTGCATAGGGACTGATTCGTCCCAATCCAGACCCAGATGCCACAACTCCTGCATTAAGATCTTCGCTGATGCTATCACAGGTCCAACCAAACCCAACGGGTCAAACAGTCTAGCTACCTGAGACAATATCGTCCTCTTAGTTCCGCGCGATTCTTTATTTTCCAATGAAATTTTATAACAAAAAACATCTTCGTCAGGACTCCAAACTATATCCAATAGCTTAGTTTCCGCAGTTTTATTAATGTCCACCGCCCTGTTATAATTGTGAGTCATTTTTAATGAAGAATTTATGTTACTGTTCCATTTATGTAATTCAAACCCTCCCTTTGCTAATAATCCAATTAACTCTTTCTTTAATTTTACGATTTCATTTTCTGTATTTGCACCCGTTAATAGATCGTCCATATAGAAATCGTTATGAACTACTTCCGTCGCTTTAGGATAATTTTCCCTTTCGATTTCTGCTAATCTTTGTAAGCATTTGATTGCTAGGAAGGAGGCAGACTTTGTACCATAGGTGACAGTTAATAATTCAAATTCTTCTATTTCGGAGCAAGAATTTTCTCGCCACAAAATGCTTTGCAATGCTGTCTGTTCCTCGGGAGCGGTGCATTTGGATACAGTGCATTTGGACACAGCCAATCACAGCACCGTGTGATTAGAGACATTTGTAGGGTCCCTTGGAACAGCGACTTGTGATTGGACTGTGTCCAATTGCCCCGTGTCCAACTGATATATACCCCTGTTCCTCATGTATCAATATCTGTCTATACATTTTTGTGACGTCGGCGCACAGAACATATCTGAAACATCGAAACTTTATAAGTAAATTGAACAAATCTGCTTGTATTACTGGTCCTTTATATAAGGTGTCGTTTAATGATTTCCCCTTGGGGTATCGGCTAAATGCATCGAAAACTACTCTAGTCTTTGTGGTTTTACGGTCTGCCTTTATAACAGCGTGATGTGGTAGAAAAACCCTCAACTTGGTTTCCTCTTGCTTATCTACTCGCTTCATATCCTAAATGAAGGTATTCTTGCATAAATTTTACATAGTCCTTTTTAAACTCAGGATCTTTAGCGAACCTTTTCTCTAAACTCAAACATCTCTTTAACGCTACTTCTCTCGAATTGTGTAATAAATTTATGATTTCTTCCTTGACCGGTAACTTTACTACGAATCTACCATCTAATTTGCGACTATAAGTCTCATTGAAATGCTTGTCACAGTAATCCTCTTCGGATTCCTTAAGTTTTCCTTTCGGAATATTTTCTATCTCCCAAAACCTACGCATTGTTTCAGTTAATTCTTCGGTTACGCTTAAATTGCAACTCGTTCGCGTTACGTTCCTTATGTTCAAACCCTCAATGGATCCTGTCACCAACCATCCTAAAAATGACTTTTGTAGTACGGGTTTATGTTTCCCTAACTTTATTTGACCAACACAAATTAACTCCCAGAATCTTTCCGCACCAATTAATAAATCGATTTTAGCTGGTATGTTGAAATGAGGATCCGCTAATTTAATATTTTTCGGTAATTCCAACTTGTCTGCATCAATTGCTACTGTTGGTAGCTTTTGAGTGATTTTAGGCAACACGATACAAACTAGTTCCATGCCAAAAGTACCGAAACGGAAAGTTAAATTTAAGTTTACGGATTTAGTAGCCTGTGATACACGTCTGTTAATCCCCGTAATTTCTACTTGCTCGTCTAAGCTTTCAAATTTAGTTTCTTAACAAATTCTTCAGTGACGAAGTTAGATTGAGAACCGTTATCTAATAATACTCTCCCTTCGACGTAATGATCTTTAGAATTTCTCACGCTAATCAGGGCAGTGGACAGTAGTACTTGGCTAGTTTTTATTATTTCTGTCGCTTACGAGTATGTACAGACTGTATTAACCGTTTTGTTCGAGCTAACTTCTTGACTTACGTTTTGATCTACTATCTCATCGTTCCTTTCCTTTAATGACTCGCGATCCTCGTGTAATAAAGTACTGTGTTTTTTCGAACATTTTTGCATCCGCTAGCTAAACGATCCTTGGCAATATGCTTACCCTTTAAGCAGTTTAAATATAGTTTCTTAGTTTTTACATTCTTTAAACGTTCCGCGGTGGAAAGTTCCTTGAAAGATTTGCATTGGTATATCTGATGGTCACCGTTACAATACATACATCTAACACTCGTCATCGCGGCATGAGACATCGTTGACTTTCCTTTGCTGATTTGACGCGAAGTAGTACTGGGCTGCGTGGATGGGCTTCTCCTTGCTACTGCTTCTAACATTTGGCATCTTCGGATAAGAAAATCAATTAACTCCCGAAAGGTCGGCATTTGTCGTACTTCGATACTAGTTTCCCATTCTTTCATGGTTGCAAAATCTAACTTGCTATTTATTATATAGACTAACAAGTCGTCCCATTGGCTTGTAGGACGTCCTAAGGCAGTTAACGCTCTTGTATGCTTTAATATACCATCTAAAATACTTCGCAAGGTCGCACTGTTTTCTTTTCTCAATGCAGGTAGCTCGAATATCGCCTTGATGTGTTCTTGCACCGCAATGCGCTCATTGTCGTATCTGTCCTTTAATCTAAGCCAAGCGTCATTATAATGGACCTCCGAAATTTCCAAAGAAGCTATTGTTTCCGCCGCTTTACCCTTCACTGCAAATTTCAAATAATGAAATTTCTGAATTTCATTCAATGACGTATTTGAGTGTATCAGCGCATTAAAAGTGTTGAAAAAGGAATACCACTCTTCGTAATCACCCGAAAAGGTGGGCAAATTAATTTTAGGTAATCTTACATTACTGTCATTATTTCTTACTCTAGGAACATCCGGTAATGCAGCCTGGTTCAAATCGTCGAGAGCCAAGGTTGGCCTAACACGGTTTTTAATTATTCTCTCTCCCGCTAATTTCAAATCGAAGTACTTCTTCTCATAATTTACTAACACTTTATCAACTTGCTCATCTGTCACATTCTCGTCATGAACAGCTAATTCCGTTAGAATTTCTTCTAACGATTTCCACAAATCATCTAATTTGTTTAACCGTAATTTTACTTCCTCAATATCAATTGTGTTTGGCTCTATAGACCATATAAAATTCTCTACTCGTGTAAAACCAGCCTTGCCTACTCTCTTTCTTTGTTTAATTTTCATTAATTCGGCGTTTTGCGGCATTTTCGTTATGCTTTTTACCACCCTAACAGATTGCACTTAGAGCTAATACATTACAAGTCTTTTAACGCAAAGTTTCCCTTGTGCTTGCGTCCCTGTATCAGAATTATCGATACCAAGATGGTTTCGTCCTTATGCAGTAAAGGCGTGCTTCACTTATGATGATGGACTCGTCCGTGCTTCGTGAGGACTCCCTTTTGGATTTGCTAACAAGCTTGCTCACACCGTAGACCTCGCGTGAACAATCGACCTTGGCAGGAAGTTCCCCCTTATGCTTTATCTCGGCAGCTGGATTCCTATGTGTTGCGTGTTTGTATTCACGTGTAACGTTTTCCTGTTCTGACCGACTCTTTCACCTTGCTGCGGTGGTGTTAAGCCGGTGTGCGTACTTTCGTTCTGGGTGTATATCAGTTGGACACGGGGCAATTGGACACAGTCCAATCACAAGTCGCTGTTCCAAGGGACCCTACAAATGTCTCTAATCACACGGTGCTGTGATTGGCTGTGTCCAAAAGCACCGTGTCCAAGTGCACCGCTCCCTTTCGTTCTCGACTTTACTCGACTAATATCCGGCTCGAAGGACCATGTTACGGAAATAACTCCTATGTGTTTGACTGTATGTGGAGGGTTTCTTGCTTTAATAATTGCTATCCTTAATTTTACGCCGTTTATTCCTCCTTTTCTGCCGAGATACAAACACTTACTACTACTATTTTTACGCATGCGCAACTCTCCTGCTTGGTAGCACCTCATCAACGCCACCACCTCAGAGACACCGCATCAGCGACACTGCGTCAGCGCCACTGCATCTTTCCGTGCTACTACACCTCTAAGTGTCTTTACATTTAGGCGCCAATTTTAAACTAAACGATAAATTTAAAATACAAACACAAAGGGTTTTACTATCTTAACATAACCATTAAACGCTAGCATACATATCGCTTATTACTGGAATTCTCTTTTTATTTAAACTACCCTATTGAAAAATTTCTGTTGAGATAACAATAGAATTCCCAATTCAATTCTCAGTTGAATTCTCAATTGAATTCTCAAATGCCGTTTCCCCAAAAATTCGCATGTAAGATCTCAATTGAGATATTTGTTTCTGATGGAAATAATTTATTGAAAATATAATAAACTTTTGCTGAAATGCTTTTGAAAAGCATTCACAATTTTGACTCAATTTCATTAAATTTCATTATAATTTCATTAATATTTCAATAATATTTTGTGACGGCTCAGTACCGAGTCGTCACGAACCCGTCCGACCGAACATCAGTCGAACGGGAAACCGGCGCCTAGGCGCCATCTAAAGCTACCACCACGTCACGCGACGGAGCGTTTCCGCGCCGCACCGTACCCCGACTCTCAATCGTGAGAGTATATTACGCGACGCCGCGCGAACGAAGGCAGATTCCACCGAGGTAGTCACTCCGCTTCCGAACCGACTACCGAGGCCCGCGAGACTTCTCGCCTCCGAAGACGAGCCTGCTCGTCGCTATCCGCGAGACTTCTCGTCTCCGAAGACGAGCCTGCTCGTCGCTATCCGCGAGACTTCTCGCCTCCGAAGACGAGCCTTCTCGTCGCTATCCGCGAGTATACTCGCATCTAGGCCGTTAACGAGAATACTCGTTGCCAGCTACACTTCCCCGAGAATTCTCGTAACCACTCCGTCAGCGAGTCTACTCGCCAAGCCATTCCGAAGACAAGGCTTCTCGTCCTATATTATATCTTGGCGAGACTCCTCGTCGAAACGGGAATTATCATAAGGATAGGGATGCGGACTTCCACGTCTCCGCCAGGACTTCCTGGCTCCTACAGGATAATTCCCGAGTAACTGCGTCACGCGCCGATAACAACAACACCTTCCGCAACGGTTCCTCGAGGTCTCTAAAAGGATAGGGGTGCGGACTACCGCGTCTCCACCAGGTCTTCCTGGTTCCTCAACAAGCTACCTCTCAAATACGAGTGAATCCACGCGAGGTACCGACGTACCACGAACCGTCCTTTCGAAAACGCAAGCGTGTACCACACCACCGTTCGGGACGACGTCCCGCCTAGCGAATTATATCACCTTGTAAAACCAGACTTACTCATTTTGTGTTCTAACATTAAGTTACTTATCTGTTTCGTCCTTTCAAAGCTTAATAATAAATATTACATATTTTGCATCTACTCTCTCTGATTTATTCTTTAACGAACCCGGCACACGACGAGCATAGATCCGCGGCATTTCCGGAACGACGGCCTACCGTCGCAATTGGCGCCCGAACAGGTAGTACAGGAAAAAATAAAAAGAATAAATAGGAGGAGCTTATGCTTTCGTGGATTTATAAGTTAAGAAAGGACGAAATAATAGAATACATAAAAGACGCGAAACTCGAAGCATCCGGAAATCTAGACGAATTATGGAAACGATTACGAAAATTTGTAACAGAAAACCCGAATTTCATATTCGCGAAAATGCAGAACACAACCAGAACAGCCAGCCCCGCGAGC